TGTGTGTGTGTGTGTGTGTGTGTGTGTGTGTGTGTGTGTGTGTGTATGTTTACAGATTTATTTTTTGTTGGTGTGTGTGCATGTGTGCCTCACGAGTATGGAAGTAAGAAGAAGGCATCAGATGCCCTGGAGTGACAGGCAAAATTAAGCCACCTGATGTGGGCATTGAGACTCAAACTCAAGCCTCTGTAAGAGCACCATAGTGTGTCTCTCCAGACACTGTTCAAATTTCTGTTTGCTAAGTCAGGCCACCCTGCCTGCAGAACCCTCATTTCTGTGGTTATCCTCTGTAACAGCTTTCTCTTCCGAATGTTCTCTGATAGTTGTTGGCTTGGACAGTAGAGGCAAACAGAGTGCAGAAGATGGCTATGTCACAGTGAGCCTTAAGCAGGACAAAGGTACAAAAAATCTTCCTCTTCCGTTTACCTATTTGCTGCCTAAGTTCTTGTTTTTTGTTTTTTTACCTATGAATGTTCATCTTTTGGCATTTGGGTTGTAGGGAAGAGAGCAAATTCTCAAGAAAACCGTAATTATCTAAAACTCTGGTCTGCAGAAAATAAATCTAAATCAAAAAATGCCAAGGATTTGCCCAAGTTGAATCAGGTAAGAGACTATTCTTTCCCATCATGCATAAATGTAAAATAAGTACCCCTTGCAGATAGTGAGAACTTGGGAGGTCTTAACTATTATCTGTTTGCATTTGTTTTGTTTTGTTTGTTTTTTGAGACAGGGTTTCTCTGTGTAGCTCTGGCTGTCGTGGAACTTGTTCTACAGACCAGGCTGGCCTTGAACTCACAGAGATCCATCTGCCTCTGCCTCCCAGGTGCTGGGATTAAAGATGTGTGTCGCTGCCACTGCCACCACCACCACCAGCACCTGGTTGATTTTTTTTTTAAGTCATGTAGTTCAAGCTGGCCTCCAACTCACTATGTAGCTGAGGATGACCCTGTATTTCTGATCCTCTTCCTCCATCTCCCAAGTGCTAATATTACAGGCATCTGCCTAACACATCCAGTTTATGTAATGCTAGGAGTTGAACCTAGGACTTCATGCACACCAGGCAAGCACTCTACCTGATGAGCTACGTATCTAGTCCTGTTTGGACTTACTTCTCTTGCATCAAAATTATGCTCAGTTGTAAGAAAATGGTCTCCTGAAAGAACGTTTGGACAAAAAAGGACTGAGCTTTGGAAGTAATGTGTATTCCACCCGATTGGCAGAATTACCTTCAGAAGTTAAGCTCTGCTGTTTTCATGTAACTGTGCTCAGCAAAAGACATGTCTTGAAAAGCTAATGAGTAATGGGGGGTGATACACATGGTGACATAAGTGAGATGAAGAGTTTCCAGCTAGAGGCCAGGTTAGGAGCAGGGGCATTGCTCTGTTCAGGGAAGTGAGGAGCTGTGTCATGGGTGACTCTGTTATAGCTAATGTTGGGGAAAGTCTTCAGGACTGCAGAGGTGTGAGAAGAGATGAGTCTGCTGCTGCCCTAAGATTCTTTGGTAGGGACAAAAAGATAATAAAGCAAAGAGAAAAAACAAAACAAGGAAAAAAGGATGTAGTGTCTGGCATGGTGGTCCATGCCCAGTAGTCCCTGCACTGAGGAGGCAGAAAAAGGGGGATAATGAGTTTGAAGATAGCCTGGGCTATGGGAAATCCTGTCTCAAAACAACCAAAGTAGGTGGGGAGGAGGAGAAGAAGAGGAAAAAATTAAGCAAAATGTAGCTGATTCATTGTGTGTGAGGGCTGCACTTTCGCATGCACAGGCACAAAGATGTGGGTACATTGTAGATGCATATATGGAGGCCAGAGGACAGCCGCCACTTCCCTCTCTCAGGGGCCCCCTGCGTTGCGTCTTGAGACAGAATCTCTCCTTGGCCTGGAGCTCACCAAGTAGGAGAAGCTGGCTGGCCAGTGAGCCCCAAGGACCCATCTGTCTCTGTCTCCGCTGATGCTGAGGTAGCCCATGTGTGCTACCATACCTTCCCCTCCCTCAAAATATGGGTTCTTGGGAGACATCAAGGCAAGTACTTTACTGACTGAGCCATCTCACTAGCCTCCACCATAGTCATTCTCGACTCTTGGTGACGAGTCTACGAAGGCTTTTATTGTTTCATTCTTGCTATTTTTGTAAGTGGTTCAGATTTTCAAATTAAAAGAGAGAAACCAATAAAGAGACTGTAACAGTAGGTCCATCCCTTCTCCATAGAGCATTTTCATGGGATCTTTAAGAGTCATGGTTTCAACACCTGTTTGGTCCTTGCTCTTAGCTCCTCACCTTTCCCACTTGTTCTCCAGGGGCAGTTTATCGAGCTCTGTAAGACCATGTACAACATGTTCAGCGAAGACCCCAACGAGCAGGAGCTGTACCATGCCACAGCGACAGTGACCAGTCTCCTGTTGGAGATTGGAGAGGTGGGCAAGTTCTTCATTGCTCAGCCTGCCAAGGAGGAGGTGGTTGCTGGACCACCCTCCAGCCAGGCCATCCCAGGCATGCTCTTCCCCAAGAAGGGGCCCTGCCAGCCCTATGTGGTGGAATCCACAGAGCCACTCCCAGCCAGTCTGGCCGTTGACAGTGAGGACCACTCCCTGGGAGGGCAGATGGAGGACATCAAACTGGAGGACTCGTCACCCAGGGACAACGGGGCCTGCTCCTCCATGCTAATCTCCGACGATGATACCAAGGATGACAGTTCCATGTCGTCCTACTCGGTGCTGAGTGCCGGCTCCCATGAGGAAGACAAACTGCACTGTGAGGACATTGGGGAGGACACAGTCCTGGTACGTAGCAGCCAGGGCAGAGCCACCCTGCCCAGGAGCAGCAGCCTGGACAGGGACTGGGCCATCACCTTCGAACAGTTCCTGGCCTCACTCTTGACAGAGCCTGCTCTAGTGAAGTACTTTGACAAGCCAGTGTGTATGATGGCCAGGGTCACCAGTGCCAAGAACATCCGTATGATGGGCAAACCCCTCACCTCAGCCAGTGACTATGAAATCTCCGCCCTGTCGGGCTGATACAAGAAGAGCAACGAGGAGTTTTTTTTAAGTTCTCTGTTGGGGGGGCTTGCGTTCTTTTCTTTTAAATTAAATATTTATTAGTACCTGGCTTGAAGCCTACTGTTTTCATAATGTAAAACAATGAAAACTAGTGAGAAGTAGATAACCCCCCTAGGTAAGGCACTACCAGTCTACCTGTGGGGCATCCTACCAGAATCGAGTTTATTCAGTGAATCCCCGCACCCGTGCTGCCCGCCAAAAGACCAACCTGTCAGTGATGTGTGTATCATAACTTAGCACTCTTGCTGTTCAGTTGTATCCATGATGTGAAAATAGTTCTGTCTGATGCTGATAAGACAGCCACACTCTGTGCATTCAAGCTCCGAAATTAAAATTAGGTCTAGGAGGGAAATGGAGTGCTGCAGACACAAAACTGTTTTTAGAAGGAAAAGGCATTGTCAGTTGGGGTAAATCTTGAGCTACTTTAGGAAGACTTAAAAATATTTTTTAAGATTTGAATTATATTCATAAAAATCCTTTATCCAAAAAATTTTATTCTACACTGGTTCCCCTTCATATTTGGGTCCCAGGCAGTTATGAAAATGTAAATGGGTTTTACATGATGCTAGAATGACATATTTGATCAGTTTGGACATGGACAACTTGCTCCAATTGTTTATGCTAGCTGGCCAGGAGGGAGGAAAAGTGATCCATCTGAGAATTTCAATGTGAAAGCAAAAAGGACCCACGACACTGGAACAGCTTTTTGTTTCAATTTTGTTTTTGAAGGACTAAAGGTCCTGACAGTTCTCATACTGGGTTTTCAGATTATTGTTATTCATTGAAAATACAGCAAGATAAAATAATAATAAGTAATAGTAAAAAAAAAAAAAGCAATCTTTGCCACTTCCATACTTGTTGTAAAGTAAGAAATTATGTCATGTACCATGTGTGACGAACTTCCCATCAAGTCGTTTATGTTCACAGCAAAGGGAATCTGCAAGGTACTGTAACTAGCTGTTGTCACTTTATGTAACAGAATGGAATGTTCTGTCCCCGGAGGGATATGCAATCAAAGCTGGCACACCTGCACTTTGAACACTTGCTTCTGTTAACGCTGTTACACTTTGGTTCATTACAGACTCTGGGAGACTTTCCGCTCCCGCTCTCGGCCTCACACTCACGCTCACTTTTTCTTTGCTTATTCCGAAGTTACTTTCTATACATGCCCTTCTATTACACACCACCTCCTTCGTTTCTGTTGCAGCTGTAATTTTTTTAATTTTGTTTACAGAATAATTTTTAAACTGTCAAATGAAATAGTATGAACCTCAATTAGGATAAATGTGAACAAATAAAATGCTTCAGATATGGCTTTGTGTCTTTGTGCTTGAGTTTCTGCCTGAGCCTCTACATTGTTTCTTTGACAATTTTGTAGAGAAACTATCAGCAGACAATCATTTTGACTAAGTAAAATTTTATGGGTAAATATTTTGAGGTAAGAAAATGTGGGGAGCTAAGATGACGACTCAGTGACTAAAGGCTTGCCATGCCTGGTTAGGATTGGGGCTTGGGTTCCCAGGACCCATGTGGAGCACGCTGCAGTGGTGGGCACTACGGGTGAGTCACCAGACATTCATGCATCGTCTCTGACCTCCACATGCAAGCTGTGGTGAATGGGGGCTCATACACAGGAACATACATACCATGGTGAAGAGACATCATGACCATAGCACTTCTTATAAAGGAAAACATTTAATTGGGGCTGGATTACAGTATCAGAGATTTAGTCCATTATCAGCATGGCGGCATGCAAGCAAACATGGTGCTGGAGGAGCCAAGAGTTCTTCACCTTGATCAGAAGGCAGATGGGAGTAGGCTAGATGTGAGTCACACTGGGGGGAGCTTAAGCATTTGAGACCTCCACAGTGGCACAACTCCTCCAACAGGCCACACCTTTGAATAGTGCCACTCCCTATGGACCAGGCAATCACACACATGAGTCTAGGGAGCCATTCCTATTCACAAAATTGTTATCAGTTACCTGATTTAAAATGTTTGGAGCTGGAGAGAAGGTTCAGCAGTTAGGAGCAAATGCTGTACCTTTTAAGGACCAGAATTCTGTTCCCAGCACCCATGTCAGGCAGCTCAGAATGGCCTGTGAGATAACTAAGGAATGCTGAGAGTGGGAGAAAATAGTCTTCCTCAGGGAAAAACACACAAATTGCTTATCCAATACCAAACAGTCAGCTCTGAAAACATACACGTACTAATAACAGTATATAAACTGAACAAGTTGTATGTTATGTATGTGGATGTGGGGCGGGTGCGACAATTATTGAAAAAAAAAGGCCATTAATTTGGTGGTGGGTGGTGGGGGAAAGGAGTGTATGGGAGCATTTGGAGGGAGGAGAAGGAAGAGGGGAAAGATGTAATTATAATTTCCAAAATAATTTTTTTTAATGAGCTGTAACTAGCTCCAAGGGGGCGTGATTCCTCTGACCTCTGTGGGCACCTGCACTCAACTTATACACACAGTTTAAAAGACCAAAAAAATTTTAAATATTTTTTTGCGTTATGTCACAACAGCAGAAATCATGTGTGTGGTCTGTATCCGTGCACTACGACACTGCTTGCCATGCATTTAGCTGAGTCATTTTGAGTATTTGACTTGACTCTAAGGTCCTGGTCCCATTGCCCCACCTCTAAAGATCATTTAAATATACCTCAAGAAGGAATCTCAGGTCTGACCCCACTTGCCAGGCACAGCACAGGGACCAGGGGAGGGACTCCGGGTACCTTTGGGTGGCTCTCCAGCTGAAGGAGCTGGGTGACCTAAACAGGGTGGCAGAAATCACCGCCAACTGAAAACTCCGCTATACGCTGGGTGTATGTTTCCAAGCACATCAGAGCGCTCCTCCTCTCAACACCAATGTGCTACAGAATGGTGACTAGTAGTCTGTTGGTGTTTTTCTAAAAGCTGCCCCAGCAGAAGGCCCTGGCCCTGGAGTTGTTTCCATCTTATTAGCACATTCCCCACCCAGCGCCACCACCTGCTCACCCCCTTGCTGGCCTCTGGCTGATTTGGTCATTTCAGAGAGCAGTTGCCAGGTGATCTCTGTGACCTTAATGGAAAGCAAGAAGGCAGCTCAGCCCAGCTCAGACTCACTAGCTGGTGTTGGTCCAAACTTCAGAAGTCTGACTCCGAGTAGTTGATTTTAGGCCCAGCACAATTTGATGAAATGATTCCAGTGGTGACTGACTCAGTCCTGCATGCACAATAAAGCAGACATAGATCTGCCTGAGGAACAAAGTAAGCGAAACACAGAGCAGATGTGGCCACACTGAAACTCTTGTGAAGTTCGTAAAGGTTAGGTCCTGTAGACTGACTAAGAAAAGCAAGCTTACAATAAGTGCCCTATGCAGCAGATCTGACTGCACAGTCCACCAGGCTAGGAAACAGGCCCACGGCAGACTTCTGGGCAGTTAACAGGTATCACATTCCTTCTCTTGAAGGAAACAGCTGTGCAATTAACATGCTAGGTTCCCCTCATGCTTATCTGAGCACAGAGAGCTCCATGTCTCCTACAAGCCACATTTCTTTACCCGCCTTGCAGTGATGCTGTGTGATATGCTCAGTCTCTTGCCCGCCTGAGCTCACCCACTCTGATGTTTACAACTCCATCCGCCCACCACAGACTTCCAACATCTCTCAACCCATGCCTCCTTCCTAAAACGCTCCCTTCTCAAACATGCAACACTGAAATTGGGTGTTCCAGTTAACAGCTGTGACAATAACAAGAGAGGCAAATCGTCTGCTGTCATTGCCTGAATTTTATTGCACCCCCCAAAAGCTATCACTGCCTTCTCTCCATATGTATTTCTCCCAGTTATTTCTTAGCTTAATTACTAAGATGAATATCCGTGTGGCATCTGAAGCCAGGCACCATTCTTGGCAGCTCTTGATTGCTTATGGCCCACTGTGCTGTTTAGTTTTATCAATCTGACGCAATCTAGAATCGCCTAGGAAGAGTCTCAGTGAGGGACTGTCTAGATCAGGTTGACCTAGGGGTTAGTCTTCATTATCTTAATTAATTTGGGAAGACCCTGCCCACTGTGGGAGGCCCCATTCCCTGGGCTGGATTCTGCACTGTGTAAGAATGGAGAATGTGAACTGACCGGTAAGCAAGCGAGCGTGCATTCATTTCTCTCCTCTGTGGATATGGACTGTGGATGTGACATGGCTGCCACTAGATTTGCAGCCCACATTTAATACATCCTAGCTGAAGTCTTACTTCTCTGTCAAAATGAATTGAAGAGTGCCCCACCCCCTTCACGCTGCAGACACTACAGCAGGAGACAGGTTTGAATCAAGAGTGATGGAAGTATTACCAGGGCAATGCTGGGCATGGTTTCTGCTCCAGGCTGGACTCTACAGGTACCACAAGCTTTTCTTTTGTTTTGTTTTTTTATTTTTGTTTTGTTTTGTTCAGGAAGCCAAGAATAAAAGAGTCATTGGAAGACAGAGAATGTCTCTAACAACACAGATTACCTGTCGTTAAATATTTTCACAGAATTTTATTTCTGCTTAGCTTCATGACTCTAAACTGACAACCCTCCTCCCAGGACCCTGCCAAAGCCACATCTCTGCCAGAACAAGGCACGCTAGTCACTGAGCCCTCCTCTGCAGTGCTGCCAGCACATTTGACCCTCTCCCATCAATGTTCTGGCCAGGACTCAGTCGGACGACTCCCTGGTGGCCTCCCTGACAACCACTGGCTCCCTAAGAAGCACAGTGGTAGGTGGTAGCAAATTTTCCTCTACACATTCTGCCATCGTGTGCAAAAGCATAGCCCAGGAAGGCCACCCTTTGACCTCTGAAGGATCTTGCACCTCACTCAGCCCCAAGTTTCCTCTGCAAAGGAGGGCAACAGCTGCCTTTCCAAAAACTCACATGGGAGAACTTGGTAGACAGCTCTGCTAGCACAGTGCTGGACAGACAGTGTGAGGATCTGAGTTTGGACTCCCAGATCCCACATTAAAAAAGAAAAAAAAAAAAGATGGATGAGGGTTTTTACTCCCAGTGCTGAGGAAAGAGAGATAGAGAAACAGATCCCTGGGGTGTATCAGTCAGCCTGTCTAGCCTACTTGGCCAGTTAAAGACCAATGATTGAGCCTGTCTTTAAAAAAATAAATAGGTGAAGCCTGGCACAGTGGTGCAGGCCTATAATCTCAGAGTTTGGGGAGACAGACGCAGGCAGATCTTTATGAGTTTGAGGCCAGCCTAGTCTACAAAGTGGGTCCAGGACAGCCAAGGCTACACAGAGAAACCTTGTCCAGGAAAAAAGAATAGGTGAATGACTTCTGAGAAAAGACATCAAGGTTGTCCATTGGCCCCACACTCAAGGACACATTTACAAGTGTACTCACATACATCCATGCATCTACACATACACAAACATGCATGGGTTCACACAAATATTTAAGGACTAAATGAAACTGAAGGAAATGCCTAGAGGATCCTAACTAAATGAACAAAGCCACAGAATGTTTCAAGGGCATGACTCTGAACATAATGCAGCCTGAATCTTCTCAAAGAAGGGATTTACACTGAGCCTTCCAAGCAGAAAGCTCACAGATGATGCCATCAGCACACAAAACAGTGTCATTTTCATATTGAAATACAGAGACAATGTATGTGAGAAGAAATATAAACAAGCTCAGAACAGTGAAGCTCAATGTCAGAAACATTGGGAGGAAGAAAGGATGCCAACAACCTTCCAAGTCTCCTCTCTCTCTCTCTCTCTCTCTCTCTCTCTCTCTCTCTCAATGTGTGTGTCTGTGTGTGTGTGTACTCATATGTGGATGCTTGTGCATTTGTGTGCACATACAGGTGCAAGCCATAAGTCAACTTTAGGTATTATTCCCTAGAAGACATCCTCCTTGTTTTTTGAGACAGGGTCTTTCATTGGCCTGGAGCTCATTGAGTAGGCTAGGCTGCTCAGGCAAATGAACCCTAGTTTAACCTGTCTCTGCCTCCCCCAAACTTAAATTACAAGCATGTGACATCACACCCTCTTATCATATGGGTGCCAAGGATTGAAGCTGGGTCAATTCTTATGCGTCCACCACCTGAGCTATCTCCTGAGTTTCCCAAATGACAGTTTTAATGGGGGCATCCCAAGGTAATGAGGGGGCAAGGGACACAGGGTCACCTGAGGCAGGTATCAATCAGTAGGAAACTTTACTTACACAGCCATGTTCCCTGTGGTCCTCCCTCTCTGCCTGCATAGAAAGCACACACATAGAAGTGGGAAGAGATTCTCTGGCCCTGGAAGCTGGGAGGAAAGGAAAAGAGATGCGTGCTGA